AACCAAAGAGGCGTTTTATTTCTTTAGCCTACTCACGACTCGACACCGTGTGAATGCCGTTTATGGCCAGTTGGTATGCTGTCGGGTCCAGGGGTTGCTTTATGAGCATCTAGACTCCGTCCATGAGTTCTATAAATGCCTTGTAACGTGCTTGGCGAGCGCTCAGCAGCAATCACGTATCTGCCACAGACGTGGGCACCCTACTAGGAATTGCTTATATAACATTGTGTTGGGAACCTTGACGAGAAGCATTTGGGCCCCGTCATGGTAGTGCTGAGGCGATGCCAGAAGGCATTCCGTGGCGGTCCGGAGTGCCATGTTTTGGCAGGTCTGTAGCATTATCGTCCTTCTAGTCCCCTGCAACCACACGGCGCTGCATAGCTTAGAGCCGGCCGGCCAATTGCCTTGTACAAATGTTGCCAACAACGTTTATTTGTATTTGCCACAGGTGCTGCCGGCTAGCGACTTGAGGACCTCGTTGCGGCTCTGTACTCTTTTGACCATTGCGTTTGTTTGCACCGAGAAAGAGAGCACTTTTTTTACTAATAATCTTTAGTATGCACATTTCCATGAACATTTTTTTATTTATGTTTTTTTCTGAAAAAAAACATCTATAACTAAAGGTCGATTAAATAAATTCTTGCATATTTTTTTTATTTAAAAAAAAACCAAATAAATGGTAAATACGTTTACGTGAATAATCCATGGCACCTATAAACATCGTTGCCGAATTCAAGATTTCGTCGTCATTTTGACGTTTTTTAACTCAATGACGTTTTGACGATTTTTCCCCGTAATGACGATTTTTTATTTTAGTTTTTCCTCTAAATTACATATGTATGTAGTATTTTAAAAATTTGTTACAAGAAAACGTAATCCAACCGTGCTTTTAGTTATATTAAATTTGTTCTAGAATTGTAACCAAATCGTTAATTTGCATTGCTGACACTGATTTTAAATAGATAGAAAAGTAGGAGTGGGAATTTGTTCAGTCAAAATTATCTATCAGTTAATAAATGCTAATGTTACACTAAGGGTCTTCACATCCATTTTGGTAGTTTTGGTAAATTGCTGGTTGACACTCGGTAATTTTATCAACTGTGAACGTCCCCTTCAGTTTTCTTTTGTTAGTCTGTTAAACTGTGTTTATCAACAGCGGATTCGTAGCTTTTTGCCTAAAAATAAAAAATAAATTGCAGCAACAAATTGGGAAAAATTACCGAAAACCGGGTACCAAGCTCGGTGTGAAGACCCCTGTTTTAAAAGTGGATCCACATCTTCAAAAGCTTCAAACGAGTGGAGTTCAACTATTTAAAAGTAATTGTGTTTTAAATTGTAATTAACAATGGCAAATCCACTTTTATTAACCCATTTGCAATTTGGTTCTGTAATGTGTGGTCATATTTATTAGGCCATATGCATAAAACCTAACCAAATGTTTTTTTTTTTTTTAATTTCAGACCTTTTACTCAATTTGTTCAAATAGATTTAAGTTAAAAGTAGAATGCAATTTTAAGAAAACGCAATCGCTTAGTTTTTATACATACGACTCATTGTATGTAATTCCTTTGTATTTGTTATTTGTTAAAAAAAAAAATACAATAAACAAAAATTTAACAATTTTTTGGCTGAAATTACGATTTTTTTAGGGTAAAGTGACGATTTTCCAGCGAAAGCTTTCGGCAACACTGCCCATAAAGTTGATAACAGTTGGTGTGAAACACAACAGCTAGAGTTGCGACAGATTTGCATTGGCTTCAGTTTATCAAGTTTATTCAGTGAAATCGCTGCATGTGTAAATGAGTTTCCATATACATTTTTACAGTGCATTTAAAAGGTTTACACAATTATTTTGATGAATGCCCTTACTGTAAAAGATAAGAGCAAATGCCAAAAAAGGGTGATCTCAGCTGTAGGCAAGAATTATCCAACACTCAAAATATCAGAAAGTAAGAAAAAATTCTCTCAAATTCTCTCTCATGTTGAGAAACTTGCAAATTTCTGCACGAACGCAAATTTTCAGGAATTTGCAAGTTTCCCTGCCAACTGGTGTCCACGGTTGCATTTCAAACAAAATACTTTTTTTTAGAATTTTTAATTTTCTTTCACATAGCCAATAACAGGATATACATGTATATTTTTTGTTGTTCCGAATTTCTTTAACATACATTTCAATTTCTTTATTGTACTAGCTGTCGGGTTTCTTAAATCAACCCTGATTGCAATTGCATTCGGAATGTCAGTTACGCGGTTTTGGAGAATGACGATACGCGGTTTTGTACTTGTCATGTTGTTGTTGTTGTAACAGCTTACAAATTCCCAAAAGTAGGTCGCTCCCATGATTCTGGGCAGTTTCTTCCCTTTAGTTAGAGCATTTGTTAACTACGATCATTTGCCCAGGATGTAAAAAATATACCTGAAGGTTCTAGTTCTGAACTTTCTCTTCCATGTGGTTGTTGTTTTATTTCTCTCTTTGTCAGATAACAAACAAATGGAGAAAATGTCTGAACTAAAACGATGATGGTTTATACCATGATAAAAATATAGTAAGGTAGAACCGCTGAGAGTTACTTTTTAAATTCTTGACGTATCCAAACATTTTAATTTTTAAATTTACTCACAAACTCACACACACATTTTCATTTTCAATCTCAAGCAACAACAATTTCGAACAATTTCAATTTTTTATTTTCAATTTTATATGATTTTAAAATGCTGGCAAACTTCAAAAAAAAATCATGGCCGACAAATTGAGAGAACGGTTCTACCTTGCTATGTTTTATCATGGTTTATACCAAGGTACATTGAACAGGTAGTATCAGTAGAGCAGCTGATTTGATTTATTTTCAAATTATTTGGTCTCGAAAATGTCAAATATTTTTAATTTTTTCTCACAAAAATTCTGAATTGTTAAAATCCATTTGCATGTGAAACCTTTTTCCATACAAAACAAGCGATTGAATAGCAGCTTTTGGAACGTTCGCCCAACTCGGCAGCACGACCGCTGATTACTGGGCCTTGCAAAGGATGGATCAATGCTTCGAGAAGCAAACAAATTTACTAGGAAAGAAAGTTGCATCAATTTTTATGTTTTCCAATTTCAATTTTTTATTTTTTATAATTTTTTGTATTTCACATGGCACGCTTTGATTTAGAAGAAAAAATTCAGAACAGTTGTTGACACTTTCGATACCAGAAGCAACAACAAAATACACGCAAATGTTGTTTTTGCTCTACTGATACTACCTGTTTAATGTGCCTTGGTTTATACCATGATAAAAACATAACAAGGTAAAACCATTGAGAGGCATTCTGACGTTTGCCAACAATATAATTTTAAAATCAAAACTCAAACTCACATTCTCATTTTCAATCTCAAACAAGAATTGTGAAAAATTTAATTTTTTTATTTTCAATTTTATATGATTTTAAAATGTTGGCAAACGTCAGAAAAAAAATCATGGCCGACGAATTGAGAGAATGAATTTACCTTGTAAAGTTTTTATCATGGTTTATACCATCGGGATTTTAGGTTATGGGCGAGTGCTGCATCCCGTCCCATATAAAATGTGTGTAGGTATTTTTATTCTAACGTAAATGGCCTTTTCATTAATTTGTATTGTCCAAAAAAAAAAATCACCTTAGGAAAAACCACAATTAAACGAAAATTTTTCAGATTTTTTTATAACTTAGGGGATTCACAAGGCATGCTTATCGTCGTAATATGTAGTCTTCAGTTTTTTTTTTTTTTTAAATATGGATTGAAGTGGTTGTAAAGGATTGCTAACTATACCGAACAAATTTTTGAACTGATTGAAAATATGTAATTGGCTCTTAACATATCAACGAAACCTCTAAATCATTTTAATAGTTTATTTACATATAAAAAATGTTTGACTTGTCAAATTATGAGACTTAACAGGCCTATGAATCCTCAATTTATTTACAAAATATATTTTAATTTGTCTCTCAATGAGGAGAATCCATTTATCATAGAGAACAGGAAAGCTTCAAATTCGAAAAATACTTCCTCTGAGACTTTAGGAAATTTTGAGTTTTTCGAAGTTTTTTTGAGGTTCTAGGTTTATCTACCTTAACATATTTTGGCTTTCAATTGAAATAAAATGTATGAGGACTAAAGAAATTTTCATAACTTTTTTTACATAGAAAAGGAATAGTATCGTTGTATCTGTGGTAAGTGTAACTGGACGAGCGTGTTTTTACATGTGTATTTATAGTACCGCTTGCAACAACAAATCAAACGCTCATTCGGATACAATTAAACATTAGTGTCATGTTTTAGTTTACCAAACCTTTTTGATGTTTTTATCAACTACGTATATTTGAAAATGTATATACTGTTAACTGTTAATTGCATACATAGTATGCGTTTATTTAAAAAATTTCATTCATTATTAATATACTCATTCATGTTCTGTTTTAATCTCTAGTGGCGTTTCCTCTATATATTCTTGAAAAATATTTTTTCTTTGATCGTCGTAAAGCATTCCTTTCAAATTCTTCATTATATTTTGCCTTGCTAGTTTTTGCTGCATTAAGTCTTTTTCCAAATCTGCTTCTACCTTTTTTTCAATGAACTCTATTTTTATTTGCTCTTCGGAAAATATGCCTAGCAACTGCTTTTCTATTGTGTCTTCTGTTAATATTTTTTGCATATTATCAATATCTTCTTCTGAATTCTCGTCAACTATTTCCATTTTTACTTCCTCCTTATGGACTATTCCTAGGCTACTGTTGCCCATATTTTGTGCTGCTCCATTTTTCTGTATTACGCTTTTCATTGCATGTTCGTCAATAACTTCTATATTAATATGCTTTGCGGGTAATGACCCTAACAACGGTTCCTTTACATTTTTCTCTTCCAACTCAACTTTTGCTATTTTTTGCTTCAATGCGGATTTTTCATCTTGATGTCTTAATTCCTGGCGTCGTATCAACTGCAGCAATTCAAAGTTCTCTCGCTTTAATTTTTCACTACAAATAAATTTACGTTCATATGTATATATTAATATGTGCTTATACGAAAAGTTCTGAAAAATTAATAATAAGTCATTGGAACTTACATTTGAATTCGTAATGATTGAATTTCCGCTAATTGCACAGATTCCTCATCCACCTCATCAGATCCAGAGGCCACATCAGTTTTGATAGGCACAGACGTTTTTGGCGACGCATTATTTGGCGTAACGTTCGCGATTGTCCAGACAGGAGTTGATGCGTTTGATGTTACTTTTCTTATGGTTAGACCCGGCCTAGACCAATTTGTCATAGTAGAACTCTCTTCCGATCTTGTTAGGACAGTGGTTTTTTTACTTGTAGATTCAGCTGCTCTTTTCCTTTCTTTTTTCTGCAACTTTTTTAATTCTTCCTCAGCGGTGGGAGATATATTGTGGTATATACAGGGAACAGCGCCATGCACCAAAGATCTTTTCTCACGCAGTCCTTTATTATTCCATTCTTACAAAAACATTAAAATAAAACAATAAGATGTAATACTTACCCATTTCAAAAGCCAATCCTCCAACGATATCTTCCTTTTTGAAATGATCCATGCATATCCTCCATGTCTTCAGTTTAAAGCCTGCGGGACGCCCGCAAAACTCCAGCCACTTTTCACGCAGTTTCTCGTCCTTTGGAAAAACGAAAAAACTTTTTTTAGCCTCTTTGTTCTTACGTTCATTTACGCAATTCCAAACTGCACACTGCATTGCAACTTTACTATTATGTATATTTAAAAGTATTTTTTTGCTAATTAAACGTATTTAAATTGCTTTGAGCACAAATTGCAAAATACGCCATATGATGTCACGATCAGCTGATTTCAAATGCATCTAGTGATTATAGTTGTGAAATTATCGAAATGACTATCGGTAGTATCGATAGTTTTGTTATTTCTATTACCACCGAAACGCTGTTTTACTTGGTTTTTACCTGCTCATAGTTGGGGTGTTCACAGTTCGTTCCCATAATAGGTTTTAAAATGCTGACGTCGACACATCTATATATATAATACGCGAAAGGGTTTTTTGTTCAGAACAACAGATCTGCACCGTTCACTCGATTATCAAAAATGGGGTGTCAAATTAAAACTGAAATTAGTCAAGAACGTAAACCTACCGGTGCGTAAACCCGAGTCAGCTGACACGATCTGTCTTACCAAAGCGCCATGTAAACGAAAACTCAACACCGCAGAATTTTTCTGTAGTTGTAGCCCGTAGCGCAGAAATCTGCGGAATTTCGATTTTTCCGTGTCAGCTGATCTCTCCTTCTTTAGATGGTTGCCACTTCGTCAGTTTTACAGATGGTAAAAAAGATATAAGTTCCTATTCAAAATATGTTTAAAATATTTGAAATTTACTATTGAATAAGGTTTTTGTTGAAAACTAAGTAGTTTATATTTAGCTAAAATCTATTATAGCACGAAAAATTGTAGTTGAAAGGGTAAGTTTATGAAAATGCATTGATGGGTGGCAACAGTGTAGTAAGCAACACTGAGGGCTCCAGTAATCGACAAAATTCTGCGTATACAGACTGCGTTTAAGTATACGTTCTGCGTTCTCGACTAATTTCAGCTTAAAGCGTTTGGCATGTAGATATGCAAACTGGTTTTATTTATTCTAAAAGAGTTGCCATCTTTTGAACAATGGAATTCCAAATATTTAATAGTCAATGCTCTCATATCCGCGCCGTTCGTTCGATTTTCCGAAATCAGGAGTCAAATTAAAAGGCTTGGGCTGCAGATGTGCAATAAGGTTTTACTTTTTTGGAAAGAGTTGCCAGCCTTTAAAAAATTATACTCAAATTATTTTAAAAAATATTTAAACAGTAAGGTTGTGGTTTTTTAGCATTTTTTTGGAATTAGCAAGAGGCGCTGGTACCAGGAATTGGTCCATGTTATACTTAAATTGGTTTAGTGCATTTGAATTTCTTTAATATTTCAACAAATCCACGTACCTTTTTCAGCGTTTTAAGTCATAGTTATGCCACTACATGCTTTTGATCTAAAAACTTCATAGCCTTAGTAAACAGCTGTTTGTTAAACGTGGCCTTGCCGGACTTCCACTTCACGATTTTATGAAATGGTGCCCAAATTCATGATCAATTTTCGTGTATAATTGAATTTATCATATTATATTTATGCAGCCAATCGCAGCTCATATTGATGAATTGATTTCGCGAATTTGCCTACGCATAGACGTAGTATATGATAAACATATTTTTTACATAGTTAATTATGTATTTTTAAAAAAATACATAAATTCAAAAAAGGGTTTCCTCGAAATGTGTATGTATATGCGTATATAATATAGAATGAAACATATTTTAACTACCTTTCTACCATATCCATGCAACTGCTTACAAATTTTACTTTCAAAGCCAGTATTCAGCTCTCAAAAAAAGTGAAAACTCCATATAAAATGACGTACAAGAAATGGCTAAGAAAAGATGGATATCAATTGAAATTGTTTTAAAACCCGTCTCTCCTATAGTATATGAAGGGGGGTCGTTACCTTTTTAAACTCAAATTCAAATTAATTCATCAGTTACTTCAAATATGTACACCTTCTATGGGTAAAGAAAGGAGAAAGGAATGCAGAGTGGAAGGCCTCTTAACTCTCTTTCTTGAGATAGTCGCACCATCGATAGTTTTCGCAATTTCTGGCAAGACAATCTTTTCTATCGCGATAATATCGTTGTTATCAGACTATCAATCATATAGCAATTTTCCGGCAAACTACCGATACTATCGCGATAGTATCGTAAAAAATAGCCGATTTTAAGAGAATTTGTTCTATTCAGTCAAAATGTATTTTATTCAAATACATACATATGTTACCGACCAAACCCGATCTTAGGACAAACTAGTTTTGCCTAGGCTAAACTAGATCAGACGCCAAAGTATTTTTGGGCAGAACTCCTTTCCGCGTAAGAAGCGGCCTTCGTGCTTCAAAAAAATAACCCTCATCAGTCCAGCTCCAACTACGCAGTCCACAATATTGTTTCGTCCAACCTGATTCAGCGTTGGATGGATGTGTCGGATGTAGTTAGAGCTAACCCTAAGATCGGGTTTGGCCTAGGGATGGGTAGTGGGTGATTGAAATTCGATTTTTACCGAATTTCGAACATTGCCCAACCATTCGATTATTTGATTCGAAACTTGGTGGTACAAATTCGATTTAATTCGAATTTTCAAAATTTTTTTTTACTGGAAATTTAAAAGTTTCTTTGTAAAGATAGCTCAAATCGGAAAAGAGACTCAATTGAACTTACATTAAAGTGATTAATTATCCGTATCTTAGCCTCACAACCAAAAATGAATACAAATAAGAAGTATTTTTTGCTCAAAAAAATTCAGAGAAAAATCCAAAAATGTATATCATGTAATTTTTTTTTTTTTTTGACTTAGTTAAAAAAAATTAACAAAGGCTGCGTTTCTTTATACATTCCGGATAATCCCATTTCACAGCCGGAACAAACAGAATACGTTTGAAATATACGTTAACATATCATCAGGAACATTCTAAAGAATAAGTAAACAAAAAAGTTTATTCCAAACGTTCAGAATGAATAAAGAAATGCAGCCAAAATGTGTATTGAAACTAATTTTTTTATTAACTTTTGCTTTACAAGAACAAAAGAAATTTGTAAGTATTTTCCGTTACATACTTGTACACTTATACGTATGCATGTTTACACACAGAAAGATGAAAGTTGCAAACTTTTCACGAATAAAGCCAAAATTCGTTTTTTTATAAAAATTCGATTTTATCCGAATTTTAGCGCCACAAAGTTCGATTTCAAAAATTCACTATTTTGGGGCTAAAATTCGATTAAAGTTCGAATTTCGAAGCTTCGAATATCGAGTTTACCTATCCCTAGTTTGGCCGATAACACATATCGCACACCGTATTTAAAAGAGTCACAACTCAAAATAATACGTTCGTCAGAAAATGCGAAAAACTATTTCTTAGCACATGATAATCATATGGCAAGGGCGATTTTACCTTAGGTTTTTTTTTAACAAATTATAACAAAAATTTGCTCCAGCTTTTGCTGAAAGGTATGTAAATAAAAGCCCTGCGTACATTTTTAGAGCACAATCTCCAAAATGCCAAATTTTGAGTTGTGACTCTTTTGAAGACGGTGTGCGATATGTATATCCGACAGTCAGTCCTTGCAAAAATGAGTTACATTCATGTAAATTTACATAGTTTGCGCAGCAATACATGTTACTTACATTTTTTAACAGAAATTTGTTGTTACAGTAAAACATACCAATGCACCATGGAAAATGGAAACTGGTTGTATTGGAAAATGGAAAAATATTAACTACCAAGTCAGGGTTGCTCTATCTTTTCGCCGTATTGCCGACTTCTGGCTTCGACCGGAATTGGGTCAAACAGGTCGGAAGTCCATTATTTTAACCGGAAGTCCATTTCAGAGAAACTTTTCTGACAAAAGCTACGAATTTTTGTCCGCAGAATCCGAATCTGTGGTAAAAGCCTTGCGTTCCATCCACACGTTGAATATTTTCTCATTTTTGACTTTGATGACATCTGAAAATAGTAATTTTATCAAACAGGAGTCAGTTGGAGAAGACAATTCCTACACGCTTCTATTAGATATACGTATATCATATCGGATGAGATGGGACAGAGAAAAAGTCACGCTCCACGAAACAAGCAAAATATGTTTAAATTTGTATAATCATTATATGCGATTTGAAATAATGGATTTTTGAAAAACACAAAGGTTATTTAAAACCACAATTGTTACAGTCAATAATACATATGTATTTAGGTTAGGTCTTTTTCCATTGCCAAAATAATTACACTTCACACTTTTTATTTACGTTAAGCACATCCGCAGTTCAGTATAATAAAATTCTAGCACAAACTAAAGCAGAAATCAAACCATTTGTACATTTGGCAATCACAGAGTGGTGTTGTCTAGAAATTTTTATCGAGAATAAATTTAGCTCAATTACAACTTTCCAAACAACACCACTCTGTAACGGTTAAAATGTACAAATATAATATATACAAATTTACAAATCGTGTGATCCCTGCTTAAAACCCAAACCACAAAATTTAGGTTGACAGATAGAGGGCCGCGGTTACCTTGCGGTCTTATACCATGTTCTGACCGACATCAAAAACATGTTTTCGTTGCTAAAACTGGTTTTCGACCTAAAACTTGTGTTTTCGTTAATCTAAAACCTGTCAAACGAAAACAAGTTTTCGCTGAAAACCACTTGAAAACTCATGTTCCACTCATTCCAATCGGTGTCTGTACAAGTTTTTTTCGATTATTTATTGAAGTGGAAGACATATTTCATCATCTTTAGTACGCCATTTCGGATTTATTGTTAATTGGCTCACCAAAATAAAATAAGCATGGAAGTAAAAGGTTGTTAATGAAAAGAAATTGAAGGAAAAGTATTTTGGTTTTGTATTTGTGCAGCAAAACTGTAAACAAAGGATGTAAGAAATGTCAACGGAAACACCCACAGTCGGTGTGAACAGCCTTCAGCCCACAATCCCAAAACTCGTTTTCAAGGTGTTTTCGTTATCGGTCAGAACATTGTATTAGATTTATAATTTCTTGTCTGATTAGAGTACCTAAATAGAATAAAGTCCGCCTGTTAAACACTTCGAAGTATTCGATATTTATTTTTTCACAATATTCAAAATGTTTTCCATTAAAAATCTTTATCGGTAATTAATATTTATAATATACGTAGCTCATTCTACTACAAAAACTATGGGGGTATTCACGGGTTGCAAGGCGTGCAAAGGTTTTTACCGTGCAATC